CCCTTGGAAGCCAGCTTCACATCCCCCTGAGAGACTGTGAGATGCCCTCTCGGCCAGGAGTCCTCCCCCTCCCCCTTTGGGGCAGGTCTCAGCCATCAGAGGCTTTTAAGGGCACATGGTTTCAGGCTCAATCCCCATTAGGGGGCGTGCAGGAGGCAGCTGGTTTCAGGCTCAATCCCCATTAGGGGGCGTGCAGGAGGCAGCTGATCAATGATTCTCATCATTGATGTTTCTCTCTCTCCCTCTCCCTCTCTCCCTTGCTCTCTAAAATAAATAAAAATATATTATTTTTAAAGAAAAGAACTTCAGTTTTGGAGTCAGAAAGATGGTGAGGTTAGTCTGTTTCATCTACCAGCTGGGCAGCCTTGGGCAAATGGTTATTTCTGAACTTATACTATTTCTCTTCTTTATTTCCACGTCTGGAAACGGACATACCAATGATTCCCCTTCACAGGGCTGTGGTGAGGATGAAGTGAAGTAATACATCGGAGAGGCTGGCGAGGCGAGGGTTCCCCCAGATGCTATGGCTGTTGCTCAGGGTGATTCCACCTGGGGATCCACGTGTTCACCCTCTCAGGAAAGGGTAGCAGACGGCCCCTTCCATCGCTCACATGCTGATTGAGCCGGCATATTGTTCTACCCGTGTTTCTGTGGACAGCGGTTACTGTGCGGAGAGAGGGTTGGAAAAGGGCCACTCAGATCAAAGAGATCTGTACAACAGGCCTCTCAGGGATTTGTCCGGAAGTCCTGGCCACTGTCTGAGGCCAGTGCCAAGGAGGGTGTGTGCGCGCGCGCGCGCGTGTGTGTGTGTGTGTGTGTGTGTGTGTGTGTGTGTGATTTGTTGTTGCCTTAATGTCAGCACATCAGCATGTGAGGTTCGGACACTTGGAAAGTAGGGGCGTCTGGACAGATCCCCAGCTGCTGGGGTCCAGGCGATTCCTCATTTAACATTTGCCTGAGCGTTTTCTTTCTCATCCTCTGTCTTTCTGTTTCCCCCTTATGTCCGTCCGTCCTTCCTTCCTTCCTTCCTTCCTTCCTCCCTCTCTCCCTCCTTACTCCCTCTCTCCCTTCTTCCTTCCTCACTCCTTCCCTCCTTTCTTTCATTCTTGTGGTTCTTCTGTTTCTCAGTGTCTTTCTCTTCTTTCTCCAGCCCATTTCCCGTTCTGGTCTCCTCCTGCTCCTGTCTTCCCCTCTTTCTTTCTGAGCCTTCTCTCTCACCATAGTATTTGGCATAGCCTCCTGAGCGTACTACGTGCAAAGTAAGCAAAGTCCATTTTTTGAAAATCATGTTTTTTTTCTTCTGATTTTTTTTTAAAGTAAAAGATACTTATGACAGACAATTTGCAAAATATAATAAATAAATAAATAAAGTCCCTGTTTCCAAAAAAGTGTCCTTGTTGGGATCTGGGAGTGCTTATTTCTGGTTACCCCATCATTCACATGGAGCTTCCTCTCCATGAGTGTTCTGCCTCAAAACTGGGGGTGCCCCAGCAAACGAGACAAGACCCCCCATCCTGTGGAGCTTCCGTGTGAGTGGAGGGAGGTGGTCCACAAATGCCAGGCGCAAACGGTGATTTGGGTGGAGACGGTATTGTACAGGAGAGGAAGCAGGACGGTGGAGGGAAGCCGGGGATCCGAGGAGGTGGCATTGGAGCCGGTGCCTGGACGTGTATCAGACTGGAAACATTTAGAACATGAACATTTAATCCTGAGGAAGTGCATTCTCCGAAGTGTTGGTGCAAGTGTAAATAGATGTGACAGTTTAGCAGAACGTTTGGAAACATAAGACGCACATGCCTGTTGCATGAGCAGGGCCACTTCTTGGAATCTTTTCTACAGGAATGCTCGCATACCTCCAAGCCCGTCCGTTGGAGAGTGATTAGGGAACTATACTGAGCCTTTGAAAAGAACAAAGGAGTTCTCTTCCTTTCCACTAACATGGGAAATGTGTGTGGTATATGGAAGCGTTATTGACGAGCGATGGCAGTCATATGGTGTCTGTGCAACAGCCAAGGTCTGAGAGGCTCACACATGTGGTTAAGGGGGATCCCCTCGCGAAGGGGCAGCAAGATGGTCGGGGGACAAGGGAGAGGATGGCTTCTTGACCCATTGCCACATTTGTTCAAATGTTGCAGTGAGCATCCGTGGTGATTTTTTAAAAGTTATGCAGTGATGCGTTCTCAAATTGAGAATTACATTACAGTTTTGCAAACCCACAGTAGGTAAAATGAAAAGTAAAGATCCTCCTCGCCGTTATCCAATGAGACCTGACATTTTGGAATAAGGGGGTTTGGGGGAGGTGAGTCCAGCCAAGTTAACTCAGTAGACAATGTGGATAACCAAGATGGTGAGAGGTAGCTTTGGGGAGAAGGGGGACCCCGCTGTGATTCTCAGGTCCTTTGCCCTGTGCTGGTTTTTGGTGCTGGGGAAGCCATGGGCCTCATCTGAGGTCCAGTTAGGTTTTCCCCATCCTGCAGGTGGGGCTGGCCTGTTTCCGTCGGAAGAACAGGCTGGAGAGAAGGAGTGCCAAGGAAGGCTCTGCTGGGCCCGGAAGTGGTCTTGGCAGAATGCCCAGGGATGAAGGTCAGGGCCCAGCTTGCTGAGGGCCTCGTTGATGAGGAGCGCTCTTGGTAGAAGCTGGACTCTGACGTAGGGACCACGGTAAGGGGCGGGGGGGTGGGATGAAACAGATAAACCACAAAAGGGCATGAGGTCTGGTAGAGGAGGGATGTGTATGTGTGTGTGAAGCTTAACATTTATAAAGCAACAAACGAGAACATTTTACTGCTTTTAATATAGCATCACAAACAGAATACCGAGTACTTGGGAGGGAGTCGAAATAACTTTGAGCCATTGGATTTAGGAAACATGAATGAAGAGAGGCTTGCAGCAGGTGGGAGAAGGGGGCATGCTCCTGTGTGAGAGCGCGTGCGGTGGGGAGTGGGGTGGGGAGGCGGTCACAGAGACGGGGCACCGGGTAGCTTTGGCATTAAGTTCAAAGAGCAATTGCAAAGGGAAAAGGAAAGCCTCGTTTGACTCAGACAGACACGGTTTGTTGTCTGAGGCGATGTCAAGAGGCAGGAGATCAAACCCAGCTCACCACGGTCCAATCCGGAGCCCAGCTCAGCCTGGCTAACGGGCATCTCCGTCCTCGGCCAATGTCTCCGGGGCCCTCGCTTCCCCTTTGGCAGACAGAGACAGAGGGCGCTCAGAGCTGAGCGGGGGCTGAAAGGTCACCCAGAACATTCGTTTTGCAAGCTCCCCAGCAGGCCTTTCCAGGAAACAGACAAGCCTGGCTTCACAGTTTTGCTGGAATGCAAGCCCCTGGCTTTGCACTTCAACCTGGGGTAGGCATTGATGAAGGCTGCAGGACACACACACGCTGGCCAGCCACTGGCCGTGAGCAAGGGGAGTAGCAGAGCTGAGCTGTGTCCACTCCGTGATCCTCTGGGCCTGAAAGGAGCGATTGAAAACTTCAGGTGAAACTAGAAGTAAGATTCAGAGCTCCCCATGCAAACAGTTCATTTCGCCAGGGAGACGTGTGAGCAAACCCAGGCACCCTGCAGTCCAGTGGACGCTGGTGCATTTCCTGAGGTTAACCTGCAAAACCTTCAAGTGGAAGTGAGACTGGCTCCATTGTGTCCTTCCTAATCCATTAGATGTTCCTGGAGCCTGTCTCCTCTCACTGTCCCCGGGGCCAGTTGGCAGTATGCGTGCGTGGTTATCACAACGAACCGGGAGCTGGTCTCCCACCCCAGCCTTGCCCCCTTCAGTCCATTCCTCATGCCACCTGACTCTTCTCTCCACAGCTCAGCCCTGTGCCTCCCTGCAGTGCTCAGAACCCTTCACCGACATCAACTCGGGGCCTTTGTAACACCCCATGCCCACCTTCCTGCTCCTGGTTCACTCACACCTCAGCCCTCCACGTGTGCTCCGTTCAGTGCTGCAGCCACCAAGCCTGAGTGTGGTTCCTCAGAAATGTGACCTTCTGTCTTGTGTTTATGCCCAGGTTACCTTTCCAGGCTAGTTCTCTTTTGTCTCAAGATGCGGCTACGGCAGGCGTCATCTCTAGGAGACGTCCCCTAACTTCCCCATTAGGCACTGCTGCCCGCACTCTGGAAGCTTGTGGGGTTGGCATCTATCCGGGCACCATCACTGTGTCCTCACTGGCTAGTCATTGGTCTGGTTCCCTGATTTGCCTGGAAAACACCTTGAAGGTAACAGTCATGTATTTCTAGCCATTGTACCTGTAGCGCCTGGTCTGGAGCTGGTCCGTGGATGTGCTGCAGAAAAGAATGAACACAGGGGCTTGTTTGTTTGTTTGTTTAATATATCTTTATTGATATCAGAGAGAGAAAGGGAGAGGGAGAGAGAGATAGAAACATCAATGATGAGAGAGAATCATCCATCTGCTGCCTCCTGCAAACCCTCTACTGGGGATCGAGCCCACAACCCGGGCATGTGCCCTGACAGGGAATTGAACTGTGACCTCCTGGTTCATCGGTCGATGCCCAACCCCTAAGCAGTGCCAGCTGGGCTGAACACAGGTATTTTTTTATTTAGTTTGTGACCACATGTTTGTGGGTCTTGGTTGTGCACAATCTGAGTAAAGACCTGCTCAGTCTGCTCCCAGGAACGTGGTGAGGATGAGTAAGATGAACAGGCTTAGGGTCGGATATCAGGAACATGCAGACTCGTCACTCACCTTGAAGCATCACTAAGCTGTATCTACTGGGTTTCCCTAGGCCAGTGGTCGGCAAACTCATCAGTCAACAGAGCCAAATATCAACAGTACAGCGATTGAAATTCTTTTGAGAGCCACATTTTTTAAACTTAAACCTCTTCTAACGCCACTTCTTCAAAATAGACTCCCCCAGGCCGTGGTATTTTGTGGAAAAGCCAAACTCCAGGGGCCAAAGAGCCGCATGTGGCTCATGAGCCGCTGTTTGCCGACCACGGCCCCAGGGTGTTGATGAATTGAAACTCCCGTGTTGTTCCAGGTCAGCTGTTGCCAGCGAACCGCAACACACCGAGCCCCATCGACCCCGACACCATCCAGGTCCCGGTGGGCTACGAGCCGGACCCGGCAGACCTCGCCCTGTCCAGCATCCCCGGCCAGGAAATGTTCGACCCTCGCAAACGCAAGTTCTCCGAGGAGGAACTGAAGCCGCAGCCCATGATCAAGAAAGCTCGCAAAGTCTTCATCCCCGATGATCTGAAGGTAAATTGGAACTGGTAACCAGGCTGTGGGCAAGCAGCGAGTGGGAGGATCAAGAGGCGGATTAGAAGGACGACTCCGGGCAGATCACACAGGCTGGTGGACAAAGGACTGTTGATTTCTGATCCTGTTTCTTGGCATGTGACTCAGCAAGCTGCTTCCTCTCTGGGTGCCTTCTCAAACATGCCTTTCATGTCCCGGGAATGCCCAGAAAGGAGGGGCGCTAACATGCTGAAGGTATTTGTAGCCCATGAAGGAGGCACATTGCAAGGAAACATAGGAAAGGCCAATAAAATCAAACTATAACCTTTCAAGGTTGGAAAGAGAGAGAAGATCATTGGGGAAGGCATCTATCCCCCTCGTTTTCCGGGGGAAGTTCCCTGGGGGAACTGATTGATAATTAACTGCTATCCTTTCCCTGGAGGCCTCAGGGGACCGCAGCTGGAGACAGGACCCCTCTCCACATGCCAACCTAGGGGAACCAGGGCAGGTGGGTCCCCTGACACTGTTTCTTTGTAGTGTTCACTCTTACCTCAAATAAGGATCACTTGAATATCTAAGCAAAAGGTTAATTCCAAGTTGGTTTTTCTCTGCTGTGTTGAAGGGACATATTTCTTTTTTAAAAAAATACATATATTTTTATTGATTTTTTACAGAGAGGAAGAGAGGGATAGAGAGCTAGAAACATCGATGAGAGAGAAACATTGATCAGCTGCCTCCTGCACACCCCCTACTAGGGATGTGCCCGCAACCAAGGTACATGCCCTTGACCAGAATCTAACCTGGGACCTTTTAGTCCGCAGGCCGATGCTCTATCCACTCAGCCAAACCGGTTTCGGTGGGACACATTATTTCTAAAGGAAAATAGATTTATCTTGGGAAATCAGATGCAACTTGAAATTATTCTGACACATTTAGTATACCGTAGGGAGGGAATTCTTTACAATGATGCCTGTCCACTGGTATTCATTGAGAACCACCTTTGATTAGCTGTTGCGTAGACTTGTCTGTGTTTATGCTTTATTCCAAGCATGTGGACAGTGAAGATATGATTACATACATTCAGGGTATTGGAATCAAGCATACTCCCTTAACCCTTTCCTAATTTCTGATCCCGGTTTCTCAGGCCTCGGTGTGGCTCAGATGGAGTATTGCTCCTTGGCTGGGAAAATGGGAGTTTGGGGCATCATCCTGGGACTGGCTTAGACTCGTTACCTCTACTTTTCCATCCAGAAAGAGCATTGGAGGGGCCCCTTTAAATCACTGTGGTCATCTCCGTATCTGCCATTATCTGGCGGGATGCAGAACTGTCTGGGTGAACAGACCTCAGAGATTCACTAGACCACATGTGTCAAACACAAGGCCCGCGGGCCAAATCCGTCCCGCCAGGCCTTGCAATGTGGCCCGCACCGCGCTGTCATCACTGCACTCCGCTGCATTTCCATCACAATGACAGTTTATGACTGTTCAGTAAACCATTCGGCCCACGATTTAGGCTGGATTTTAGATTTTGGCCTCTTCTCTGATTGAGTTCGACACCCCTACACTAGACCAAGTTATCATTTTGCCGTTGAAGAAAAGGAGAAGCAGACAGTGAAATGGCCGAGCACCGCTCACTGCCAGGTGGAGGAAGGCCTGGCCTGGTCCCCGAGGCTTCTGGCTTCCAAACAGGTCACTGTAGCACGTTGCCCTGACAGAGGCGACAACGGGGACTCCTGGGGAACAGGTCAGTAGCTGCCCCCTGAGAATCAGGAGAGGAAAGTGCAAAGTAAAGACCAGAACATCTAACCCGGCCAGGGAACTGATGGTTAGCCTATGGCGGCGTGTGAAGGGGCACCATAGGTTGGTCCTTGGGCGAGCAGGTATCTTCTTTCCACTGGAGGGTTTCTCTCATCTTGTGTGCTCAGCCGTTCTGCGGTATTTCAGAGCTCATCTCTCACTCTAAACCCGGGAACCCATGCGGCATGCATTTCCTTTTGAATGGAAGGTAGCTTGAAAGGATGCTGCTGAGAAATAGATGTAGCTTCCAGCCAGACCTTCGCAGGGTCTCTGAATTTTCAAGATCAAAGCAGAGGGCCAGCCCACCTCATATCCCAGGTAACCTTGGCAACAGAGAGGCCACACGGAAACCTTCTGTGCTGGGATTATGCGAATCGCTCTTGTCAGAGCCAGGCCTGACCTTTTCCCGTGGCAGGTGGGAGGGGGCAGGAGCATCCTCCTGCCACGTGTCCTTGGATTTCTTCAGCTGGGAGGGAAGCCTTGGGCCACAGACCATGTACTCGTGGGAAGCGGGAAGCGGGAAGCTCTGAGCTTGGGTGGTGGGAGACCCGTCTGTGGTCCCAGCACTGGATAAGCAAACCTACTGAGTGAACCATGCTTCCTCCCTGGAGCCATGCATTTGGGTCAGCATGTGTCCCCTGGCGGGGGTGAAGGGGTAACACACTGACACTACTAGCTGAGACTCCATTGAATCACTTTGATCTCATCATACTTTGCAGCGTCCATTCATTCCTTTGACACGTGTCTTTCCAATGCCAGTGTGTGCCAAGCCCCGTGCCAGGGGCTAGGGACTCTCAGGTGAATGGGTCCCGGCTTTGTGTCTTACCTTCTGGGCACTTCTAGTCTGGTGAGGAGGGATGCCGGCCTGGTGGGGGGAGGGGGCATCAGGAAGATGATGGGACAGGACGGGGGGATGAGGGGAGGGGGTCCTTGCCGGGTGGAGGTGACTGGGCAGCTGGGTGGCATCTGCCCCTGGGGGTGGAGGAGAAGGGGCCAGGGGATGCAGTGCCAAACCGATCAGCCCCTCAGTCTCCTGCGATTCACAGGGCAGCAGCCTGGCTTTTCTCCGCCAGGACAGCCATGCGTCATCCCCGCCTTCTGCATCCTCCCTCCTTTCCTGTCCCCACCTCCCATTCCTCGCCTTTCCTAGCTCAGCTCCAGGCATGGACGGGGAGGCTGGGGGTGTGGCCGCCTCAGAGGCGAGAGCTCCAAGAGACAGAGAAGTCGGTTGAGTGAGCTGGTGACTCCCTGGGCCCTATGATGTGGCCACACGCCGCCAAGTCCGTGGCCTACACCCCTTCTGTCCCCCCAACACACACAGCTTCTGCAGCACGCAGGGGAGTTTCTCATGTCCGTATGTCCTCACCTCGCAGGCCCTGTTGCCCGTGGTGCAGGTTCGGACACATCCTAAGTCAGCCCTTCTTTTGAATGACCTTGGAAACCAAACTCACAGAGCACTGAGGAGGATGGCAGACCTCCTGACACCCAGGGCTTGAGGGTGTGTGGAATTGGTGTTTCCATCAAAGTAGCGCAAACAACTTCGGGCTCACCAGAGGCTACACCTGGGCCTGTTCAGCAGTGGGAGACCTTTCACTCCCCCAGCTCCTCCCAGCCTCTCTCACGCACTGGCCTGGCCCCTCCCCTTCCTCCAGCCCCCTGCTCCCTTCGGAAGCAAAATAACAAATCCCACCACCAGCCATTGCATACCTGCCCAAGCTAACTCCTCTCTAAGGACAGTCCTGGTATATACAGAAAGCGGAAAGCACTTGGTAAATAAAAGTCCCAGCTTGTGAGAGCAGACAGAGGTGCCTGCACTCGCTGTCTGCCTCACACCTTATGTCTTTGGTTAGGGCAGATGTCTGCTGAGGGGAAGGGGCAGGTATGGGGGCGGGCCACTGACTTTGGCCCTGGCTTGCAGTCTTGGCCCCAACCCATGTGACCTCCTCCAGTGCCAGCTGCCCCTTGGAATCCTGGGGGAGGGTGAGAACTGACCTCACCCGCTTACTCTGGGTGGCATGTAACTATAGGTGTTAGGCTTGCCAGGATGGAGCGCGATTCACTCTTGCAAGGGATTGAAAGGGGGGGCAGGGAGGCGGGGGAGTGGCAGAAGGCACCAGGTGGCTCCATAAATCCGTTAGGAAGGGCTGAAAGAGGGCTTACATTTCTCAGTCTCCCCGGGATTATTTTCCTTTCTCCTGGCAGGAGGAGCAGGGAGGGGGAGGGGGAAGAAGGGACTGCTTCTGGTTGACCAGTTAAACATTACTCAGACTAATGAATGCGCAGAGAACTGTAAAATAGGAAATCAGAGTAAATTATTTAAGTGGTAGTCACCAGTAGAAGCATGTTGATGTGGTGGCAGGTAGAAGTTTGTGGGTTTTTCTTAATTTCTGTTTTCAATTGCCAAAATGTACATGCCTGTTACATCATATGCCAGCAGTTCAGAAGGATAGCCTTGTGAGGCACGTGCTCTGCTGGGCAAAGAGGGCAGGGGCCCGTGGTGACAGGCGGGGGTGTCTGCCCTGGGAAGGGGGCCAGGGCCCATGGACTCCACTCCCCGTTGCCTAGAAGGTCAAGGAAGGAGACGCAGGTTAAGACTCCTGGGCTGGTGCCTGGGCGCTGCCCCGAGGCCTGCCAGTTTGGCCAGGCGGCCCCTCAGCCCTGCCGAAATCTAATATCTTGTTTCCTTTTCCCTCTGTACCTCCCGAGCAGGATGACAAGTACTGGGCACGGCGCAGGAAGAACAACATGGCAGCCAAGCGCTCCCGGGACGCGCGGCGGTTGAAGGAGAACCAGATCGCCATCCGAGCATCCTTCCTGGAGAAGGAGAACTCGGCCCTGCGCCAGGAGGTGGCCGACCTGCGCAAGGAGCTGGGCAAGTGCAAGAACATTCTGGCCAAGTACGAGGCCAGGCACGGGCCCCTGTAGGACGGCGGGGGGGATGAGGGGGCCGGCCGGCCTTGGACTAGATGGACCGTGCGTTTCCCCGATGACAGCACCACACCCGACCTGACCTTCCTTCCCGACGGCAGCACTTTACCGGAGGCATCCATCCACACAACGGGCTCCCGCATGCGTGTGGCCAGCGGTGCGCGGGCCTCTGCACTTGCCATGTCCAGAGAACCCTCTCCTCCTCCTTCGGGTCCCCCATCAGAAAGGTGCCATGTTTTTACTGGACTCTGGAGACCTCCGTGGCGGGGTCTCCTGCCCCTCTTCTCCTCCCCACTCCTGCCCCATTCCACGCGGCTCTTCCCTGCTCTGCCAGGACCCTGGGTTTGGATCCACCGCAAGGGCCCTGGGAGAACGGCGGCTCTCGGTGGTCCAGACCGGCCTGTGAGTTACCAACATGCCAACACGGTGCCCAGAACAACCCAGCGCTCCGCCTCGCCCTCTTCCTTTGCAGGCGCTTTCCTCATCGTTTCAGTTCGGATGGCGATCGTCCTCGCATTGACAGTGCTGTTTAGATTCCTTAGAGCCCGTATTTGCTTACCGCGCTATCGACTAAGCTCCCTTTTCCTCCTCCTCCGCACCCCGGATCCGTGAGAGTTACTCTTCTAGACCACAGCGCGTGTGTTTGCACCGTCTGTACCTAAAGCAATAATCCTATTGTGCGCTAGAGCATGCTGCCTGAGTATTACTAGTGGACGTAGGATGTTTTCCCTCCCTGAGAAGTCCACCCTCTTTTATAAAACACACACAAACATGACAGCAGTGCATTTGAGCATGCCCAGAACATCCCCCACCCAGGACAGGGAAGCTGAGGGAATGGCAGGTCTGAGAAGGAAGGGCTACTTTATCAGCATAGGAGCCAAAAAAACAAACAAACAGACAAAAAAAAAACCCTACACAAACAAATCGCATTTTGGAATGGCTTTTGACATGGATATGTTTGGTTTTGTTCTCTCCCTTCTCCCATAACCCCTCCCCCCACTTTTATAGTTAACTTTTTTCCATAGCCCTCTTGATATATTCCCAGCAACTCCATTGAGATTCAGTTCCCCCCGTTTTTTTGTAATATATATATTTTTGTGACTTATACCTTGCTGTTTTTAAACATCAGTTAAGTTAATGAGTTGGCGTTTTGGATGACCCCTTTTCCTAGCGGTGCCCCTTTTCGAATGCTTCATAAATTAATGATTCCGGAGCTTGCGTTTCTCACCCCATTTGCTTTTGAACGTATGTGCTTCTATTATATAAAGTGTACTTCTGAAAAAAATGAATGTAAAAGACACTGGTGTATCTCAGAAGGGGATGGTGTTGTCACAAACTGTGGGTAAATCCAATCAGTTGAACTGTTTACTATAGACCCAAAGGAGAGATGCTGAAATTGTCTAATGTTTATACAGAGTTATTATAGGACATTCTTTTTTTTTGTACAGTATTTTTCAGATATGAATACTGACCATGTATTTTGGAAGACATATATTATATATAGCAAAGAGAAAAGTCCATGTTTTGAAATTCTATAGCAAAGATATATATTCATCAGCGTTGTACAGAGAAGAAGGGCTTGGGGGTTTTGATGTCTTTAATATTTGAAGCCTATCACGGACACCTCAGCATGTTTTCTGCTTGGAGATTTCACGACAGTATCAAGGCCCTCCGTGCTGAATTCTGCTCTCACAGCTCGAAGGGGATTTCCTGTTTCCTAGTAGGTCTCAGAAAGAAGTCAGTTAGCATCACCCAAAAGCACAAAATGGATGTTAGTCAAATATTTATTGGATGCTACAGTGTTTTTTAGGGAAAGCATCTGCCACAGAAATGTTCACTTCAAAACGATGACTTCCTGGAACGGAATACCACCGCAGACACCCCAAACAGTTCTGTCCTTCCCGTGGGCGCGTCTTAGGCAGTTGACGGCCGCTAGTGGTGCTGTGTGTGGCTTACGACTTGATGGATGTTCCGACTCTAAAGATTGTTCTTCCGCGTCGCTCGGTTGTGTCATGTCAAGAGATTCTGCTGCTGTTACAGAGACACGTTGTGCTGGATTCAAATACGCTTCCCTCCATGAGGTTTCCTAGTGTCCCACGCCCAGAGTACCTGGTTCCTTAGTGACCTGATGGGCTCCTGGTCAGCCCGTCAGCAGCTGTCTCTTGGTGTCAGTCTCGGGAAGCCCGCTGGGCGGATAGTCCCGTTAGCTGTTCACTGGGCCCCAGGCGGTAGAGGGCAGCGGGAGGTGGAAGAGTGTTGGAGCTGAAATGCGTTGCTCGGGTGAATCACTAATGACAGAAACAAGCAAGACCTTGGGCAGTCTCAGGCAGGTCTGAAGAAGCGGTATTCAGTAGGAGACACCAGTGAGCCAGGGTCGGCCTTTTCATGGGAAAAGAGACTAATTGCCCTAGTTGTGAAATGGCAGTCTTCACTAACGCAGAGACAAATGATATATTTAAGTGGTGACATGTTGAAGGGCCACTTAAATATATTGAGGACTGGACCACCCAATTCATTGACGTATAAAATGGTAGCCCCCTCCAAAAAAAAAAAAATGCATTTGAGTACTGGTTTTTCTTGGAATTAGATTGTTTGTATCCAATGAGCATCACAAATGCTTTCTACAGAAGAAATAAAATTGTCACAATAAAACATACACTTTCATGTGCCAGGAAAGGTTTTGGAGACCTACCTCATCTTAAACGATTTTAAACGCAGGCGTCTGCAGGTGCCTTATATGTAGGTCATTGCCACTGTGCACACGTGAGCACTCGCACCCAGACCCACTGCCTTCCATCCAGGGCAGTGAACTGGCCAGGGAGGCAGTGCTAAAGGGTGTGGGAGGCCGTGGTCCACAAGAGCCAGGTGAGTTCTGCAGACTGCAGCTATTCTAACAGTCCTGCTGTCATCCCCCTCCCCACCTTTCCTCATAAGCAACTTTCAGAGATCAATTACTTGCCCGTTAACTTGGAAGCCCAGTCGTATCGTGCCAACATCCTCTAGACACGATTTGGAATGAGTGGTCCAGGGCTTCCTGATGAGGTCCCATCACCGTTTCTTCTGCCCAGACTTGCAGAGAAAGGCAGGGATTGCCCATCCCACGCTACCTGTGGCAGCAGGTAGGGGGAGGGGGGGTGGGGGAGCTGTAACTTCTCCTTCTCTTGAAGAAGTGGCTGCCTTTTGAGGCACCATCGCTTAGAGTAGGAGGCACTGCTGGAGGAGAGGCATGGGTTGGACAGGACGCTGGACCAGGTATCCCAGAGCTTTCTTTCCACTCGCTGGTCTTGTGAGGGAGCTCATGATGATTCTGCATGTACATTGACAAGGTCTTGGGTCTATTTTTTTAAACCTGGTGTTTTTTGTTTTTTTTTTAAATGTATTTTTATTGATTTCAGAGAGGAAAGGAGAGGGGGAGAGAGAGAGAGAGAAACATCCATGATGACAGAGAATCATGCATCGGCTGCCTCCTGGACACCCCTCACTGGGGTGGAGCCCACAACCCAAGCATGTGCCCTGACCAGGAATCCAACCGTGACCTTTTCTTTTGTAAGTCGACTGAACCACACCTTCTGGCAATAATACCATTTAAAACAATGAGCACAGCCTTAGCCTTGATCTTGATGAATTGAATGAACTTGGCATGACAGTCAGTACATTTCACAGAGGGCCAAATGTATGTAGGGTAGAGTGTGTGTGTGTGTGTGTGTGTGTGTGTGTGTGTGTAACTATTTAAATCAAGACATAAAAATCTTTAATTTTGGAGCACCTTACCAAACATCACAATAATCTACCATTATCTTTCTGGCAACACCACAAAGATCGCATCCGCTAACCAGGTGAAAGTCCACAGGAGGTCAGTTGAATTGTGTACCATGATGTGGGCCGTGTTTATGCTGTTCCACACAAACCTTTCTCTGTCTGTTATCCTTCATGTTTAATAAACTTTGAATTTTTTCCTTTCTTTCATGTATTTTTTTGTTGACAGTCTGCTAGAAATTACATTCTGTTCCCAACTCTACCGCCAAGAGAACATTTAAGAGATTAGTTACCTAGATGAAGAAATAATAGTACATCATGAGCGGGACATAAACATTTCTTGCATATTTATGTGCCAGGCCCCGTGCTAACCACTCCCATGGGATATTCAGCCCTGTGAGGGAGGGACGGCTGTTATTCCTATTTGACAGAAGAGAAAAGAGAGGGTTCAGGGAGGTAAAGAGCTGACCTAACATTTCGAAGGCGGAAATGACAGAGAGGACTTCTCATCCATTGAATGAGTAGCATTTAGGACAGGGGTGGGGAACCTTTTTTCTGCCAAGGGCCATTTGGATATTTATAACATCATTCGTGGGCCATGCAAAAATATCACCTTAAACATCAGCCTGCTGCATTTGGTCAAACATTTAACTAACTCAGTTCTAATGCTTTGTCAGGGCCAGACCCAATGATTTCCTGGGCCTTACATGGCCCGCGAGCTGGACGTTCCCCACCCCTGGTTTAGAGCCTCAGTTTCAAACTCCCCCCACACAAAGTCTGCTTTTGGGGTGGATATACAAGAATCACTGGGGAACATACCTCAGGGTATAGACCCAGTGATGCTGAATGGATAGAGCTGGGGTGGAGCCAGGAAATAATTGTTTAAAGACTCAGCTAACTCCCATGAGTGGCCACATACCTGGAGCCAAGCGTTGATAGACTCAGCCTTAATTCGAGGTCCTGACCCTTGGTGGAAATTCACGTAGAAGCTCCAAAAGGCCCATCATTTCCTGAAAGTGAATGCTGTTTTCGTGTATAACTGAATTTATTTTATTCTTGTAGAGAAGATCCATAGTCCTTTCCCCTCCTCTCCCCTCCTCAAGGAGTCTGGGATGCAAGAAGGAATGACAGCCCGGATCTACATAGGAAGGCTGATGTCAGAGCCGTTCCCGGCCCAGGCAGCCTGGCAGAGCCACCCGGGGAGCTGAAAACTGCGCTGCGTGAGCGGCAGCCCCCGCCAAGGAACTCGGCCGCGTCTCTGGCACGAGACCCATGGCTCTGAGGCGAGGAGCTCCAGGACTCAGATCTGTCACTTAGCAGGTATGTGACCTTGAACTGATACTGTGCATTTTGGAAGCTAAATCTCCTGGTCTGTGAAATGCCGTTCTCACCGCCACCATGAGGGCTGAGGGGAGGATTAATGCCAGAACCGATGCGCAGGCGCTCGTCCGTTCAGGGCCCGCAATCAACACCCTCGGAGGGAGGCGAGCAAGGGGAATGTGCCCGGAGCACTGTTCCCAGTTCAGGGCACATGCCTGGGTTAGGGGACTCTAACCCCAGTGGGTGTGCAGGAGGCAGCGGATCAATGATTCTCTCTCATCTTTGATGTTTCTCTCTCTCTCTCTCTCTCTCTCTCTCTCTCTCTCTCTCTCTCTCTCTCTCTCTCTCTCTCTTTCCCTTTCTCTCTGAAATCACTTAAAAAAATATATTTAAAAAATAAAGATGATGGCCTCTGAGGAAGAGGCCAGGGCCTAATTGATTTGGCTTGAGCTGGGACTGCCTTTCCCAAAGAGAATCTGCCCCAGCTCTAGCCTTATCCTTCTTCTCTGAAAGTGTCTGTTTGTAGCTTTGAAGGCCCTTAAATTCATGACCTTTGACCAGGCTCCTGTGGTAGCCAGACACGCCCTCCCTGTCCAGCCCTGCCCACCTCCCATGGCAGCATCACAGAGAGCTCAGCACCCTTCTCTCAGCCCCCACCCCCACCCCTTTCCCTGCTGCTCCCCCACAGAGGGAAGCGTACACACTCAAAGGCTTCATGAAAAGGTCCCCTTAGGAGACCAAAGTGCCTTTCTTCCTTTTGAACAATGATGAATCTCAGGAATATAAGGAAAGTCAATGAAAAGAGGAGCCAGGGTGGGTCGGCAGAAAGGAAGGAGCCTCCCCTTGGCCTTGCCGTTCTCCGGCAAGGGAAGCTTGGATCCCAGCTATTTGTGCCCTGAAATGGTCATATTCTCCCTCCCCCCCTTTCTCTTCTTCCTCCTCCCCTCCCCTCCCCTGCTCCTTCCCTTTCTCCTTCCTTTCTTTCCTCCTGTGTGGCTGAGGGGGCGGGATGCGGGTGAGAGGTGGGATAACTATTGGGGAAGAGGGGCTAGAGGAGCAGGTGGATGGGACAGGAGGAGCCCAGACTTCCCTGACGGTGACCTTGTCAACACCCCCGCTGACCCTCTTGATCCCCATTCCCCAGTGTCTGTGCCAGCAGGAAGCCCGTTCCCCGAGGCCCACCCGAGGCACTTTGAGGATCACACAATGCTGTTCCAGTCTGAAGGCGTTTCATCTGGTTGAGCCTTTGATTCTCCAGATGAGAACACTGTGGTCCGGAGCAGGCGAGGGATGTGCTGCCTCGCACCCAGCCAAATGCAATGGCAGCCGCCTGCTTCCCAGGCCCTGCTGTTCCACAGGCGCCAGGGCCCCTCCTCAGCTGCTGTTCCCCATGTGGCCCCAGAGGGCAGAGACGCTTAAATCCTCGCTCTGCAGGGAGGAAGGGAGGCCTGAGAGCCCACCCCTCAGCCCGCTGCCTTCCAGGCCTAAGCAGGTCTCGAAGGGCCCCATCCTGCCCCTTCTTCAAGACACATGGAGATGTCCCTTTTCTTCTGAAAGCCTCTCCGGAAGGTCCCCCGGTTGGAAGCAGTCACTCCCCGCTCCGGACCGCACCCCACTCCCACACACGCTCTCCATCTGGCCCTCTCTCTGGCGGCGAACTCCCTGCGATGTGGTGCAGACACATATGTCTACAGCGGAGCCCGCACAGATGCCAGCTTCTCAGAGGCACGCTGCGGATGGCAGCCGACACTAACCCCCACTACGCCCCTCAATGCCATCTTTACTCTCTAATGGGCTTTTGTGTTTCCATATTCTTTCTGCAAAGATTAAACAACAGAGAAAGGAGCTAATCCTGGGCTCTTTCCTTCAACTTGACCTCTTTGCATGAAGAATTCAATCCGTTCAGACACAACTGTGCAAGGCAGGCTATTTCTCCGCCTCCTTTTTCTCCTGGTCCTGTCTGAGTGGAGAAGCTCACAAGGCCTAAGGCGGGACACACACACACACACACACACACACACACACACACGACTCAGTTCTGCTTGCTGATGTTTCCTGGATGTCTGTCTGAGAGGGGACCCTGCTTTGCCCTTCAGAGCTCTGTGTGCGGCCCCAACTTGACCTCCAGAGGTGAGTCCCCACTCCCTGGGCCTCTGTATCTACCTCCCGCATCTATTTGGGTCCTTCCTTCTGGCCTCTACCTCTCCTGGGGCCCCGGGAACTCCCTGTAGGAGTTCCTCCTTATCCTCCTTCTCTGAAAGTGTCTGTTTGTAGCTTTGAAGGCCCTTAAATTCATGACCTTTGACCAGGCCCCGGGAACTCCCTGTAGGAGTTCCTCCTTATCCTCCTTCTCTGAAAGGAGAAGTGGGACTCCGGCCCCATCACCTGGACGCCCTCCTCAGCCCCGGTACCTGCTGCCCTGGAGCTACGCTGGGTGTGTGCTGGGCCAACCCAGGGCTGTCTCAGTCATCTCCAACTCCCAGGGTGAGTTACCCTATTTTCCTATCTGGGTGCTCCTATCCCCTGCTACAAATCTTTCCTCCTCTCCTACCCCAACAACCCTGATCTTGACCTTGATGTGGGGAGCAGAAATATCTACGTCTGCCCGGCTGGTGTGGCTCAGTGGTTGAGTGTCAATCTATGAACCGGGAGGTCATAGTTTGATTCCCGGTCAGGGCACATGCCTGGGTTGGAGGCTCAATCCCAGTAGGGGGCATGCAGGAGGCAGCCGATTAATAATTCTCATAATTGATGTTTCTATTTTTTTTAAAATATATTTTTATTGGTTTTTCACAGAGAGGAAGAGAGAGGGATAGGAGTCAGAAACATCGATGAGAGAGAAACATCGATCAGCTGCCTCTTGCATACCCCCTACCGGGGATGTGCCCGCAACCAAGGTACATGCCCTTGACCGGAATCGAACCTGGGACCTTTCAGTCCGCAGGCCGATGCTCTATTCACTGAGCCAAACCGGTTTTGGCTCATAATTGATGTTTCTATCTCTCCCTTTCTGAAATCAATAAAAAAATATATTTTTTAAAATTTTATAAACCAACAAGACTCTTTTGAGAAAGTAATGACAACCATAGACCCTCTCCCAAGAAGAAATTCACAAGTAAAACATTCTTTTCAATTTAAAAAAAAAATAAAAAATATATATATATATATATATATATATATATATATATATATATATATATATGTATTTGCTTTTTAGAGAAGGGAAAATCAAGGACCAGAAAAGATAAGAGACATAGCCAAAGCCACTGGTCTGGGACAGTCACTCCTGGAACCCTGGTGTCTTGACTCCTGTCCTGTGGTCCTGTGTCCCGTCCTCCAGGCCTACAGAGCTGCTAACGCGTGGCCCCGGTCACAGAGGGACACAGGGGGCGCAGAGAGAACCATCTGAACCATCCCGGAACCAGCCCTGGGAGGGTTCTTAGAAGGCAGGTAATTGCCGAGATAACAATGCCCTGGGCTGCGGGGATGGGAGAGCCCAGCGGGCCTTTTAATCCTGAAATCCAGTGGCTCCTCCACTGCTGCTGAGAGCCAGGCAATAACACCCAGAGCGCGTGTTCAGGAATCCGCCGCTAATTGTCCTCACTAATGAGTTCCTTTTCAGCCTCCTGGGCACAGGCACCGGCAGGGCAGCGAGCGCTGTCCCTGCATCTAGGCTTCTGGAGGCTCAAGTCCCAGGGGAGGCAGGCACTCGGATGCTGCCCGGAGCCTGCCCTCTGGACGGCTAAAGCAGAGGGAGACACAGGTTCATGGTTCATCCCACAGGGTCCTGCAGAGGGAGAGGGAGGAGTGGGGAGGGAGAGGAGGAACAGGGGGGAGGAACAGAGTGTGGTGTGGAAGAAAAGGAAGAAGCCACGGTTCCCTAAC